GGGGGGGGGGGGCGCTGTGGGGCTCTGTGGGGCAATGATGGGGTCACTATGGGGCTCTATGGGTTTCTGTGGGTCTCAGTGGGGTCCCTATGGGTCTCTGTGGGTCTCTATGGGGTCCCTGTAGGTCCCTGTGGGGCTCTATGGGGTCTCTATGGGTCTCTATGGGTCTCTATGTGGTTCCTATGGGGTCCCTATGGGTACCTGTGGGTCTCTGTGAATCTCTATGGGTCTCTATGGGTCTCTAAGGGTCTCTATGGGTCTCTATGAGTCCCTATGGGTCCCTATGGGGTCTGTATGGGGTGTCTATGGGTCCCTATGGGTCTCTATGAGTCCCTATGGGTCCCTATAGGGTCTCTATGGGTCTCTATGGGTCCCTATGGGTCTCTATGGGTCCTTATGGGTCCCTATGGGGTCTGTATGGGGTGTCTATGGGTCCCTATGGGTCTCCATGGGGTCTCTATGGGTCTCTATGGGGTCTCTAAGGGGTCCCTGTAGGTCCCTATGGGGCTCTGTGGGTCTCTATGGGTCTCTATGGGTCTCTATGGGTTTCTCTATGGGTCCCTATGGGTCTCTGAGGGTCTCTATGGGATCCCTGTAGGTCCCTATGGGTCTCTATGGGTCCTTATGGGTCTCTATGGGTCCCTATGGGGTCTCTCTGTCCCTATGGAACTCTATGGGGTCTCTATGGGTCTCTGTGGGTCTCTATGGGGTCCCTGTAGGTCCCTATGGGTCTCTATGGGGTCTCTATGGGTCCCTATGGGTCCCTGTGGGTCTCTATGGGTCTCTGTGGGTCTCTATGGGTCTCTATGAATCTCTATGGGTCTTTATGTATCCCCATGGGTCTCTATGGGGTCTCTATGGGTCCCTATGGGTCTCATTGGGTTCCTATGGGTTTCTCTATGTGTCTCTATGGGGTTCCTATGGGGTCTTTATGGGTTCCTATGGGGTCTCTATGGGTCCCTATAGGGTCCCTGTAGGTCTCTATGGGTCTCTATGGGTCTCTATGGGGTCTCCATGGGGTCTCCATGGGGTCCCTGTGGGTCCCTATGGGTCTCTATTGGGTCTGTATGGGGTGTCTGTGGGTCTCTATGGGGTGTCTATTGGCCCCTATGGGTCTCTATGGGTCGCTATGGGTCCCTATGGGTCTCTATGGTTCCTTATGGGTCTCTATGGATCTCTATGGGTTCCTATGGATCTCTATGGATCTCTATGGGTCTCTATGTGGTTCCTATGGAGTCCCTATGGGTCCCTATGGGTCTCTATGGGTCTCTATGGGTCTCTATGGGGTCTCTATGGGGTCTCTATGGGTCCCTATGGGTCTCTATGGGTCCTTATGTGGTCCCTATGGGTCTCTATGGGTCCCTATGGGTCTCTATGGGGTCTCTATGGGTCCTTATGTGGTCTCTATGGGTCCCTGTGTGTCTCTATGGGTCCCTAAGTGTCTCTGTGTGTCTCTATGGGTCGCTATGGGGCAGCTCTGGGTCTCTGTGGATCTCTATTGGGCTGCTATGGGGCGATCCTATAGATGCTATGGGGCGATCCTATAGATGCTATGGGGCGGCCCTATGGATGCTATGGGGCAGCCCTATGGGTGCTATGGGGCGATCCTATAGATGCTATGGGGCGGCCCTATGGGTGCTATGGGGCGATCCTATAGATGCTATGGGGTGATCCTATAGATGCTATGGGGTGGCCCTATGGGTGCTATGGGGCGATCCTATAGATGCTATGGGGCAGCCATATGGGTGCTATGGGGCAGCCCTATAGATGCTATGGGGCAGCCCTATGGGTGCTATGGAGTGATCCTATAGATGCTATGGGGCAACCCTATGGGTGCTATGGGGCAGCCCTATAGATGCTATGCAGTGATCCTATAGATGCTATGGGGCAGCCCTATGGGTGCTATGGGGCGGCCCTATGGGCGCTCTGGGGCTGGGGAAGCAGTGGGGCAGCCCCATAGCAGTTGTAGGGCGGCTCTGAACCCCCCCCCCCCCCACAGGAAGCGACGGAGATGAGGACTCCGCCCCTCCGCCCCCCCCCGAGGGGGGGATCCTGCGGCGCCTGCGCAGTGGGGCGGGGGCGTGGCTAGGGGCGCTGCTACGGGGGGCGGGGCCAGGTAAGGGGGCGGGGCTACGGGGAAGGGATCTTCCCGTAATTGGTTGTAATGGCTGGGGGCGGGGCTATTTGAAGGGCGGGGCTTCTTGTGATGGATTGCAATTGGAGGGGGCGGGGCTATGGGAAGGGGCGGGGCTAAGGGGAGGGAGCGGGGCTGAACGGCTATACGGGAAGGGGGCGGGGCTAAAGGGAATGGGTTGCAATGGAAGGAGGCGGAGCTATGGGAGGGGGCGGGGATAAGTGGGGGCGGGGCTTCGTATAATTGGTTGGAAGAGAAGGGGTGGGGCTACTGAATAGGGCGGGGCTACGGGTCGTTTGTTGTATGGAAAGGGGCGGGGCTACAGGTAATGGATTGTAACGGTAGGGGCGGAGCTATGTGAAGGGGCGGGGCTACGGGGGATGGGGCTTCGTGTGATTGGTTGTATGCGAGGGGGCGGGGCTTTAGGAATTGGTTGCATCAGAAGGGGGCGGGGCTACTGGTAATTCCATGGGAGGGGCGGGGCAACGGCGAAGGGTTGAGTGGAAGGGGGCGGGGCTACGGGTAATTGGTTGTATGGGGACGGGGTGGAGCTACAGAAGGGGCGGGGCTACATGAGGGGGCGGGGCTACGGGTAATTGTATGGGAGGGCGGGGATACGGTGGAGGCGGGGCTACAGGTAGTGGGGTGCATTGGAAGGGGGCGGAGCTACGTTAAGGGGCGGGGCTATGGGTAACGGTTATATGGGGACGGGGCGGGGCTTTGGGGAGGGGGCGGGATTACGGATAATTAGTTGTATGGGGAGGGGGCGGGGCTACGAGGGGGCGCGGCTACGGGTAGTTGGCAGTACGGGAAGGGGGCGGGGCTACCGGGTTGGTGGGGCGGAGATGGGCGGGGCTAAAAGGGGTGAATGAAAGGAGTGGGCGTGGCTAATAAATGGGGCGTGGCTAAGGGGTGGAGGCGCTGTGGGGGTGTGGCTAATGGAAGGGGCGGGGCTACAGGATTGGTGCCGCTGAGATGGGCGGAGCTTTGCGAATGGGCGTGGCTAAGGAGTAAGCGGGGCCAATAGAACGGGCGGGGCTAACAGAGTGGGCGGGGCTAAGGAAGTGGGCGGGGCTAACGAGAGGATTCCCCCCCCCCCCCGCCCCACAGATCCCCGCTCCCCCCTGACCGCCCCCCGCCCCAGCATGGCGGTGCCACGTGACCCGGAGAACGAAGAGGAAGGCGAGGAGGAGGACGAGGAGGACGAGGAGGGGCGGAACGGAAGTGACGTCACTCAGGGGGCGGGGTCTTACCCGGCGGACTTCCGGCCGCTCCGCTCGCGCAGCCCTGCCCCCGCCGCTCCCCCCGCCCCTCCTCCGCCGCTGTCGCGACATCCGCTCGTATCGCCGCTGCTCGCGACAGACGGGGCGCTGCGCGGCCTGCCGCCGGTGCACATCGTGGTGAGCGGCCGTGGGGACACGGGGGGACACAGGGACCCATAGAGACCCACTGAGACCCATAGAGAGTCATAGGGACCCATTGAGACCCATAGGGACCCACAGGGACCCATAGAGAGTCATAGGGACCCATTGAGACCCATAGGGACCCATAGAGAGTCATAGAGAGTCATAGGGACCCATAGAGAGTCATAGGGACCCATTGAGACCCATAGGTACCCATAGAGACCCATCAGGACCCATAGGGACCCATAGAGACCCATGGCGACCCATAGAGGCCCATAGAGACCCATGGAGACCTCATAGGGACCCATAGGGACCCGTAGAGA